AGCCAGAAGGGAAGAACTTCTGTGACAGACGGTGCTTTGAAAACTCTTAAGTGCTGTATACCCCATGGCCCTTCACCACTCGAAGGAGTCTCAGAGTGGCTTATATTCCCTTCCCCTCCCCACAAGAGACACCCTGTGAAGCAGGTGGGGATGAGAGAGCTCTTCTGAGGACTGGGAAGGTGGCAAGGAGGAGTGGGAGGATCACGGAAGACGCCCACTCGTGCCAGAAAAAGGGACAAAAAGAAGCCATTCCCTGCCCAGTTGAAAAGGGAGATAGTTCTAAAGACTGGAGTTATCCCTGGTGTGTTTAGAGAAGGATTTTGAGTACTTGGTGGTGTATCCCTGCCATCTGAAACCTGAAGAGTCAGTTAGACTCAAGAACATATACTGGAGTGCTTAGCAGACACTGAAAATACAGCCTCTCGCCTCAAAGAGTCGAAGACCCCATGAAAAGCTTAAAACTCTTACTTACTAGACACATATGAACTGGAGTTTGTGAAATTACTAAGTTATTATTGATTCACCTCAGCGATTTTACCTGATTTCACTTGACCTTTCCCCCTCTACGCTGAAAAAAATATTTTGTTTATTTTTGAACTTTCAAAAGCCTCTTGTGTGCCATTTTCAGAGGTATAAGAAGGGGATCTGGTCTCTTCCCTCAAGTCCCTGGGCCGAGGCAGCATCAAAATATAAAAACGTGACAGGGTGGGACAGCCATAAACCTTCAAATAAGAAGAAAGTAGAGAACGGGGCTGCTCAATCAGAAAAGGAAAGGAGGGAAAAACAGAGGGGAAATCCTGTGCGTGAGGGAGGGAAGAGGGCCAAGATCCCCATAACTTCCCTGACCACTTAACAGCCATTACATCAAAAAATGTTAAAAGCAGTATTAACATTATTCTTAATAGCCAAGTGCTGGATAACAAAATTTTTACTGTACTTCCATTTTTTAAGTTGCTTTGAAAAATTATAAAACCAGAAATATATAGACTAATGAGTGCCTTTTACCAGATCAAACTGGTTTGTCAAATGTGTCCGCTCCTGGGAAAGTAGACCAGGCTGCAGCTGGACACACGTGGGGGCCCCCCTTGCAAAGCTAATCTTCTCCCCCCCCCCCACTTACTGTTCTCTCTCCCTTCCTCCAACACACTCCTCCGTTGCCCCTCCTGCCCTGCCCGTCAAAATGGGAAAAATGGAGGCTGAAATCTCATGAATGAGTCTGGCACAACCCCAACCACTTTAAACTCTTGCTTTACTTTTCTCCATATCCACTTTCCCCCAGCTTTAAAAAAAACAAAAATTATAGTCTTTTCCAGGGCTCTTTTTGTAGAAAAAGCCCAGCAGGAACTCATTAGCACAATAGGCCACACCCAACAGCAGAAACTCATTAGCATATTAGGCCACACCCCTGACAGCACAGCTCATTAGGCTGCACCCCCATGTTACCATTGCTAATCCAATCACTTCAAGAAGACTGATTTTATATAAAGGTTTTAACTCAACCAAGAAGTTATTATTGGCCAGAGAATGCCTGCGAGTTTAGAGCCGTGTGCTGACTACATTACCTCTTTGCGGAGAGAAAAAGGAACATACAACTTATGCTAATCCAATCACTTCAAGAAGACTGATTTTATATAAAGGTTTTAACTCAACCAAGAAGTTATTATTGGCCAGAGAATATAAGGTTTTCACTTTGAATCTGGGAACAGAGAGATAAACGTTCGATTTCCCCTCAGAATCAGGTGGCTGGGCCCTGCGAAAGGGGAACATGAGGGACCTTCGCTTTCCCCTCAGCACCCCGATTTCTGGGGATCATGGTGTTGCTTTAACTTGCCCAAAGAGACTTGATGTTTCCTGTGGCTGTTTTAAGGGTATGCCCCATCACACGTCTGTCCACTGACCGCCTGAGGTGCGTGGGACAGGGCCTGCTTGGCTGCTCTTCCCAGGGACGTGGAACTATTTCTCTCCCCTGATCTCTACGTGCCATTAGGACTTGTCTGTCCCGGACAGCCTTTGGAAGTAGGTTGAGGCCCTGCAGTTTCTTACACCAATGTCTTGTTTGGGCTACTGCTAGCTGGCTGCTATCTGCACATGTTGTTCAGGGTTTCGGTTATTGTTTTTATTAAATGCTACACTTGTTAGTATTAAATGGCATCGTATTTCTTCTGTTACATCATCTTGCATGAAGAATAAAGATGAGATAAAAATATTCAAAATAAATAAATAGTGCTGAAGTCTAGGGAATCTTCCTACAAGATTGGTTGCCATTAAGACACCATCTATTTTAGGATAAAATGAGCGAAGGCCTTTGGTTCAAGAAGACGGCTCCAGAAGTGCCTCATGATGTTTGTACTATTACCTTCAGCTGAAACAAGAAATGTCTGCAGACACGTACCCGTTATCCAGACCATTCTGTCCGAGCTTCCTACCGATGTCACCCACCAACACCCCCGGCATGGGAAGCAGGGTTTTGGGATCTCGAACCTGTAAGAAAAACCCTCGTCATGTTCCTACAATAGTTTTCATTTCTATAAAACATTTTCAAGAAGTTACTGAACATGCTGTCGGTCTTGAACGTAAAACCATGTACATATTAGCCACGTATCGGATTCCAAACCTGGCCCCAGACTGTGGTGCAAAGAAATGGACACAACTGGGACAGACTGCGGAAGGGAAAGCCCCTGGGCTCCAAGACGAACCTGAAAGCAGGGAGATACTTGTCTGAATAAGAGGACAGCAGTACAGAGGGTGCAGACCGTGTACCTGCCAGGATTGCCTCAGCAGCCCCATGCGCAGAGAGTCCTGGGGATGCCCTGAAAGGGGGGGGGGAGCTGAGCTTGGCTGCAAACCCGGGACTGTTCCCAATCTTGCAGTCGACCTTTGGCAACTGAAACGGATCTGCAACACTTTGTTTATTAATATCAGTATTATGATAAATGGAACTTCTAAGAGCCATTCTTTGGCCTTGTTCAGACTCTAGCATGAGCAGGACCTGAAACCCAAAGTAGAGGCTATGAGGAGGAGCTACACAGATGGTAAGTTGACTGTAAAGATGGGGACTGGCTTACTCGTCACTGGTTCTCACTGACTTGTACCTGATAATAATAAATAGGTTTTGATACAAGAAAACAGGTTAAGCAGAGGCAAAAGCTGCTCCTTCCTCCAGACATGGTCCCGGGCCAGTCTCCACTCCAAAGGTGTTTGCCAAGTGGCCTTCTTTACTCCCCCCCCCACACACACATAAGTGAGTCACTGCCATGAATTCCTAGGGGGAATGTGGGGACAAAACATGCCCCCCAGCCCTTGACACAGGGCAGCTCAGTGTCTTCCAGGCAGAGAAATACCCACATGGCATGAAACCATTTGGTATGCACAGTGACTGCTCCATTGGGCCCACATTTTTCTGCTTAGCATGGAAGGTGCATATCCATGAGATGTGTATGCCCTTGTGGGGGTCCCCCCCCACTAGTCTTTCTGGCTGGAAAGTAACATATGATCTAGAACTATTATTATTATTATTAGATTTATGGATCGCCCAACCCTGAAAGCGGGCTCTGGGCGATTTACAACCTTGAAAACAAATAAAATATAATCAGCATAGATAAGTTATCGCAATAATAGAACAACCAGTCCAGATGGCGATAGCAACCCCTTTTGCCAGCGGCAGTGTTGTCTGCACAGCAGGGCAGGGATGGGACGAGGGGGCCATAGGAAGGAAAGGAGGGTGCCGGTCTTAACTGTTGCTGCCCTCAACCAAAAAGCCTGGCGGAACATCTCTGCCTGACCCAGGCCCTGCAGAACTGCATGAGATCCCCCAGGGCCCTGATGTCATTCGGCAGCGAGTCCCACCAGGTCAGGGCCAGGACCGAAAAGACCCTGGGGACCTAGTCGAGGACAGCCGGACCTCCTTAGGGCTGGGGACCACCAGCAAGTTGTTATCAGCCGATCTCAGCGTTCTTCTGGGGCGCCTGCTACCTCTCTTTTGTAAACACAGACTCCAGAAGGCACGCAGAGAGTGGCCTGAGACAAGGACAGTCAGAATTTAGATAAGTCTGATACAGCACTGAGCGATCGGCGGAGAGGAGATGGGAATGAGCAGAAAGGAGTACAGGGCAAGGGCACCAGTGAGCCTGAAGCTCCTAGACCTTTCCTGGCAGGCACAGAACCAGAGAATCCCAGAGCTGGAAGGGGCCATCCAGCCCCCCCCCCCTGCTCCGTGCAGGATCAGCCTAGAGCATCCCTGGCAAGGGCTTGTCCAGACGCTGCTTAAAGACTGCCAGGGAGGGGGAGCGCGCCACCTCCCCAGGCAGCCCATTCCACTGTTGTATGCCTGGAGAGGGTCCCAGTCTAGCTTAAATGCTACCAACAGCATCCAATAGCCATAATGTTGCCAAACCCCCTTCCTTATTATGTGAATATAACACAATTTGAGATCACAAGCAATATAACATTAAAATATTCATAGTGACATGGATCCAATATACTTTTCCTGAAATTGTGCCGTGTTTAACTGCATGCATAACACAAGTGGGCCATGTTAAACCAAAATGTTTGTGGCTTAAGTTATGGACAGAAGTTTCATGAAAGAAGCAGACTGGTTCTGTTTTTGAGTTTGCGGTAAGCTAAGGATGAGATGGACGGGCACATCAACATACAGACGCCACACCTCGGCCATCTGTATCAGTCTCCCGTAAGCCCCATGTGTGCGTGCGTGTGTGCGCGTGCATTGGGGGGACTCAGCAAGTACCGCCCCAAAGGCGGGCACCTGTCGCTTCCTCTCTGCACTCACCACACTAGTTGATGCACCACACCACTGGAAGACCACATGCAGAAACACCCTCGAATCAGAAGGAAAAATGTTGCTTGATTAAATTCTCCTCTGAAAAAGTGAAATCCCTGCCCCCTGAGACTCACAGGAACGAGGGTGCCAAAGGAGCATGCATTTGTGGGTGTGAGCCCTCGGCCCCTGGCCTCTGGCTAGTTCTAGCCGCAGGCTGGGTGACCCGTCTCTCTCAGGGCGGGAAGATGCTCTAAGGCAGGGGTCCCCAACGTGGTACCCATTGGCCCCGTGGCACCCGCCAACATCTCTCCTGGTGGGCAGGGCCAGCAGGTGGGGCTTCTGCCCAGCACTGGCTTCCGATTGGCTGTGCAGACTGGGGACCCCTGAACTAGATCGAGACCAAGCAAACAGGTTCTGAGCAATTCCTCTTCCATTGGGCACGGCCAGAGAGGAAGCGGTCAGGCCCAGGCAGCCAGGAGGAATGCCCCTGGAGAGCGGAAGAGTCCCGAACGGGCTTGCAATGCTCTAAGCAAAACAAGCACCAGGTCTGTAGCCTGCAGCCACAGCCTGTAACTTGCGGAAGATGCCTCCCTCTCTGTGTTCTGCAGAGTTTCAAAATCATTTTGTGTTTGTATTTACTTCATTTATACCTTGCTTTCCCCCCCCCCCGAATGGGGACCCAAAGCGGCTTGCATTGTTGTTCTCTCCTCCATTTTATCCTCACAACAGCTCTGCAAGGTGGGTTAGGCTGTGATGGTGTGATGGGCCCAAAGTCACCCAGCCAGCTTCCAAGGCAGAGGCGGGATTCGAAGCTGGGTCTCCCAGTTCCAAGCCTGACACTCCAACAACAATGCAAGCCGCTTTGGGTCCCCATTCGGGGGGGGGGGGGTAAGCAGGCTTTAAATGAAGTAAATACAAACACAAAATGACTTTGAAACTCTGCAGAACACAGAGATGGAGGCATCTTCCGCAAGTTACAGGCTGTGGCTGCACTCCACCAGGCTGGCTCTCTTCAAGTGGATCAGTTTTAGCGAGGCTGCATTTGCTGCCGGACCCTGTTTTAACCCGACATTTCAGAAACTGTTTTGTGCAAGCAGAGAAACGCAGCGGGCCAAACCCTGTGGGAGATCACTTGCCTGGAGCAGAGACCATGAAACCTCACTCAGGTTGGGACGAGGCGCCCCAGTGATGGCCCCGTGTCTTCCCTAAGGGGCTTTAAGGCGGAGGCTCCTAAGCGGGAGTCCACGACACCTGTGCGAAAGAGGTCCTCAGTCCAGCCGAGCTGCTGCAGCTTCAGGGTTTCTGCAGAACTGCATCCGTCTCGATCAGGGACCCCCGCGAGTGTCTCGGAGCCCACTGAGATCTGGTGTGGCCGGGCGGGGCTTTTCTCAGCAAGGATCCTGATGGGCCTGGCAGACTTCTGAAAATGTTGCTCTGACAGCAGTTGCCGCCACAGCAGAAGGATCTTCACTGCGTGACTGAAGGCAAGCTGCGGCAGCCATTCCGGGGCAGGCTCCGCCTCCTGCAGCAGGCCTTTTTGTAGCTGCGCCCACCATGCTCCTGTGGTGTCCGCAGACTCAAAAAGGCTGAATTCCTGGGGACCCATGCTCTAAGGATCTGAGTAAGCAACTTGGTTTTCTTTTGTTTATTCTGTAGGGTTTCATGTCTCTATAGATTTGTCCCACTATCAGTTTTCTGTGTCCTTAGCAATAAAACTTTAAACTTTGATACTTCTGACTAGGAAAGATTTTTTGAATTAATGACCTCACGTGCAGACACTGCAGCTTCTGCAGTCCTATAGACAGAGAAGAGGGAGGTGGGGATCATTGACTTTTCTCGCACGCAGGGTGGATCTTGACTTAGTTTTGGAAATTTATAAAAATAGTTTTAAGACATGTAGGGTCTTAGAGTGGGGAGAAGATTAGAAAAATCAAAAGAAATATCTGCATGGAAAATGAGGTTTTACTGGATAGCTGACTTTTTAGGTTATTATGGCTATGCCTGGCTGATCTGCATTTAATCTAACGACCTAATGAAGTATAACTGTGTAAAAACAGGTTTGTATGGAACAAGGCTTGTTGTAAGCTACCGTATATACTCGAGTATAAGCCGACTTTTTCAGCACATTTTTTGTGCTGAAAAAGCACCCCCTCGGCTTATACTCGAGTGAGAAAAAAAATGACCCCAGAAAATGCCGCCGCTCCGCAGCCAGATATCAGCCTGTAGTCACTGCAGCCCGCCTGCCTAAACTGATCTAGTCACTGCAGCCCGCCCGCCTAAACTGGTTGCTAGATCGCCTCCCGACTGGCGTCTAGCAACCAGTGACGTAAGAGAGAGGAGAGCGGAGACTGACGTGCCAATAATAACAGCGGAGTTAAAAGACCTCCTCCGCTCAGCAGAACACTAGAAGCCGCCGCTGCCCGCCCCGCCTCCACTGGTTGCTAGATCGCCTGCTGATTGAAGGATTTTAACTCTTATGTTTTAACTTTGTTCGCTGCTTGAGCTAAGGTTTTTGTACTTTTAAAGTTATTGTTGATACCATATTGTTTTTGTTGACCCTCTTTTCCACTTATAGAGCTAATTTACTGTTTCTCTTTGAAATAAATATTATGTGTTTTTAATGTAATTTTATTGGTATCTATTATTTCTGAAATTTACCAGTAGCTGCTGCATTTCGCATTTCCCACCCTAGGCTTATACTCGAGTCAATACTTTTTCCCAGTTTTTTGTGGTAAAATTAGGAGTCTCGGCTTATACTCGGGTCGGCTTATACTAGAGTATATACGGTACATACTAGTTGAATAGTAATGAAGTGCCCCTGTGTAACACACCCACTAGGAGAGCAAACTGACTGTAATGCATGGACAATCTGTACTCTGAAAGATAAGGTAGATATGTCCAGAACAAGAAAAGCTTGGAGAAACAACGACTGAGGGGTGACATGATTGAGGTTTATAAGATTATGCATGGGAAAGAGCAGGTAGAGAAAGAGGTACTTTTCTCCCTTCCTCACAATACAAGAACTCGTGAACACTCCATGAAATTGCTGAGCAGTCGGGTTAGAACGGATAAAAGGAAGTACTTCTTCACCCAAAGAGTGATTAACACTTGGAATTCACTGCCACAGGAAGTGGTGGCGGCTACAAGCATGGACGGCTTCAAAAGGGAATTAGATAAGCATATGGAGCAGAGGTCCATCAGTGGCTATTAGCCACAAGGTATAGATAGGGACTCTGGGGCAAGTGATGCTCTGTCATCTTGGTGCTTGGGGGGGTCAACAGTGGGAGGGCTTCTAATGTCCTGGCCCCACTGGTGGACCTCCTGATGGCACTGGTATTTCTGGCCACTGTGTGATACAGAGTGTTAGACTGGATGGGCCTTTGGCCTGATCCAACATTGACATCTCTTATGTTCTTATTTAAGACATGATCTTTGTTTACGTACTAACTGAATGTATAGAATGTACAACTGCCTTCCTATGCAAGTTAGCTATTTTTCTATGCGAGCACAAGACCACAGTCTTCTTTGGACACTTTAGGAGAGAAACTTGATTTCTTTCCTTCTTTATCTGCAAATAAAGCTATTGATTCCTTCCAAGATTGGTCACTTCATGTGTATTATTGTGACTGCACATACGGGGGGACCCATATTGGGCTAACAACCATAGGCTGACCTGGGGCAGTCTGGCTTTTGATAACTTTCAGGTTTTACCTGGTTGGCGGCAGAATGGGAAGTCTCATGCGGAGTTTCTCTGGGGTCAGAGAAACACAGGGATCCATTGCATGGTGTACAGAATCCAGCTGTCCCCATCACTGCTTTTCAATCATTCTAGAAAGGCTACAGCATTTATCCATGCCTACCTGTACAACAAAAGAATGCAGTCCATGGCACTGGCCATCTGGGGTATGTAACTGGGCATAAACGACGGCATGCGTGGCATTCTTTCCCAAGTTGCCGATCCAGAACTTGGCAGCTTCAAAATCAGGTGAGTGAATGACAAATTCCTACACCGTTGACAAAAAAGCGTATGATTATTGCAAGATGTTTTACACCCACTTGTAAAAGCACATCATTAAAGTAATCCAACGATGCCTCTGTTTTAGGATTTGAGTTTGTCAGATTCAAATATAATAAAATACTTGAACAGAAATCCTCAGAGTTAATCTTAATGCAAAAGAAATTTCAGGGAAATCAAGGCCAAAACCTGGCAGAAATTGCAATGTTAAAGAGGAACAAAGTTTGAGTCCAGTAGCACATTTAAGACCAACAAAGTTTTATTCAAGGCATGAGCAATTTTGTATGCATGCAAAAGCCTCTTCTGTTAGCCGCCCTGAGCCCGCTCTGGGGAGGGCGGGGTATAAATCTAATAATAAATAAATAAATAAAATATTAGCCTATCTATACAGGTAGGCTGGAGAGCCACTGCCTCACTCCCCCCCCCCCCCCCCGTTCCCAGCCCAGAGGGAAATAAACCGCTAAAACGCAAAGGGGAAGTTGTGCTCCTTGTCAGACGCCCAGGAGAAAATGCATTTCCTCACGATGTTCTTGGGTAGGCATTCCAATTTTGGGACTTTTTCCCTGTAGCTCCCCTTTCCCAAGGTGGTGGGTATGACTATTTCATGTAAATAGTGCTCATCTTGGTGTCAAAATTTATGTTTTTGAGTCGACAAAGCCAAATACACTTGTAGAGACAGCCATTTTTCCCGTAGCCAGAATTTTGCCGGATGGTGGATCTTTCTTTACATTCTAGTAGGATGTTCAATTTGGTGTCAAACTGTATGTTTTGGGGGCTGATAAAACTGAATATACTATTTATTATGTTGTAAATACAAAATAAAGTCCTGTTTTATAACAAAGTTTGAGTCAAGTGGCACCTTTAACACCAACAAAGTTTTATTCTGGGTATAAGCTTTCATGTGCACTTACACTTCTTCAGATACATTGAAACAGAAGTCACCAACCGTTACATATAGGTAGAGAGCAATGTTCCCTCTAAGCTGTGGAGTCTTGTGAGCAAAACTTCTACTTTGTGAGCTACTGGCATTAAAGTTGTGAGCGAGCGATTTGGCTACGGAATAAATTAGTTTGCTGTGGAGCCATCCTTCCTGAGCTAAGACAAAAATCTGTGAGCTGGAGGCTAAAAAACTGTGAGCTAGCTCACACTAACTCAGCTTAGAGGGAACACTGGTAGAGAGTGGGGAGGGTGCTGCCAGGAAGGGCTAAGTAGAGTCAAGATGCATAAGCAACTGAGCAATAAATATAGCTAAGACTGGATGAGACAGATCTGAGAACTGAATGACGTTAGCGTGTGTAGTGAGATAAGATACCAATATCCCTGTTAAGCCCTGGGGGTTCCCATTTTCCTGAGTTTTGTAATAACTTGTAACTCAGCAATCTCCCATTCCAGTCTGTTTCTGAAATTCCTTTGCCGTAAAACAGCTACTTTTTAAGGTGCTTTTAAAGGCTTCTAATATTTGTGGGGATGACAAATCCAAAGAAACTGGGGTTTTTTTACTGCGACAAAATGCAGCAGGAGAATTGTTAAGATAATAACTCCTAAAGCATAGAAAATTATTTATTCTGCTGCCTTAAATAACAGTATTTAAAATATTTACTAGCTGCCTCTTTCCTTATAGAGTTCAAGGCAACTTACAACAGACCATTGTGGCCAGGCTAAGAGGTACAAAGTTCTACATTAATAAAACTCCAATGAAACCATACCAAAGGAGAATGTCAGTGATTTCAGACTAACCTGTGTAGAGGGATCATATTTAGCTACTGTACGCATATTCTTGGTATTGCTGCCATGGCTAAGTTCAGTCAGAGCAAAACATCCAAAATTCTGTAGGAAAACACACATGAAATTGAGTTTAACATGTGTTTAATCAAACAAGAATACCAAAAGAAAAGAGAAACGAAGGGCCTCTATTCAAAAAGAGTCTACAAAAATTAAAGCCGATCAAATCAATCACCAATTTACATAAACAACTGACCACCAGACAAACCTCTTCCAAGAACTGAGTCATTTGTAAAGAAAGCCCTCCTCAGAAGTGTGGCCTTGCATCATTTCCAGAAATGCAACACAGCAGACTTCTCCCTAAAACGTTTTGGAAGGCTATTCTACAATGAAGCAGCAGTCATGGAGGAAGCCTGTAAACAAGCGGAGACTGATTTAACCTGACAACGTGGGAGGAGATCTAGACCCTGGGCGGGAGCCAGACTAAACTGGCAGTTTCCACCGACCCCCCTTCCCAGCTGCAGCAGACGCCCCCCCCCAACTCCCCTGCCCCTCAGGAGGAGTACTTTGTGAAGATCAGTGGGCTGCAGCAGGAGGGGAGAGGCATAAAAGTTCCATTCTGCCCCTGGGAAATTCAATGGGGATCAAATCCCCTGATCGGAGGGATGGCGCTGCCACACGATGGGGAGAGACATTCCTTCAAGTATGTGGGTCCCCCAGCAAGATGGGCCTTAAAGGTAAGAACCAGCACCTGGAACTGAATCTGGAAACAGACTGACAGCCGGTTCCCAGGCATTATGTGTGGTCTGGCTAGCACCAGCATCAGCAGACCCCTGCGCTTTGCACCTGCTGAGGTTTCATGATGGCTTCCAAAGACAACTGCAGGGAGAGTGGGCTGCCCAAGAGCAGCCTTGAGGTAGCTGCTTCCCACAAAAGACAAAGAATGGGAAAAAAGCACTTTTAACAATGGAACCCATCTGCTTTTCTGATAGGAAGGCAAGAGGTAACCAGATCCCAAATTCATAATCAACTCTGCCAGAGAAAGCTAAATACAACCAACGGTAAGGACTGTAACACCCTACAGGACACCCCCCCCCCATTGACCAGCATCGCCTCCACCCAGGCCTGTAGCTACAGTGGGGCTTTGGGGGGCTCTGCCCCCTTTCTTAGGCACAGCCCCACAAGAACTTCTCCTGTAAATGCTTTTTTCAATAAAAACTTTTTTAAAAAACTGTGCAGCAGAGTGGGGTGCTGTAGTTGACTAATTTCCTGCACTGAGCAAGGGGGTTAGAGTAGGTGACCTCTAGGATCCCTTCTAAACTGGTCTCCTTTCCAAGAGTTTTTCTGCCTTAGCTTTCTTGACTATAGAAGTCATCACCCCCACCTGCCAGCTCACTATCAGAATTATTGCTCAGGCTGGCAGAAGTGATTAACTTGCAGCAGCTGAGACCGGTCATCTAAAGTGGTTGACAGCTTTCTATTGGCTAAATGGCTTTTCTTTCTGACTGAGAACTTCAGCCCCACCAGAAAAAAGATTTGCTCCACAAGCCACCAAGCCCTGGCTACGAGCCTGCCTCCACCTTGTCTACATTCAGATTCCACATGTTCACCCTCAGGATGGGCCCCCCAGATTCACTGCCCTCCCCCTCCCCAGCCAAGTAAGACGAATCCAGCTGACCAAGCCCCAGATGGGCTGGTGCAAGCAGCCATCACCAGGAGTAGGTGGTCCAGATGGGGCGGGTGTGAATGACGGCCGCCTGCTCCTTTATGCCTTCTCCTCTTCCCCCCAGTGTGGGTGGGGCCATGGGAAGCCAGAGCCTCACCAGCATGGGGCCCAGGGCAGCTGCCAAGACCGACCCTATTTGTTCACAACAGATCGGCACTGCTCTAGAGAGGAGACTGACACTCCAAATGGACACACACTGTTAGGGGACCCACAGCATACCGATGGCACCCATCTCCACAGCTGTGTAGGATCTCACTGAAAAGTTTCATGTTCATATAAAGACACCATGAAAAAGTACCTCCATGTTCTCGTTTTGTTTAAGAAATTCTGCATGTCTTTCTGAGCCCGAACTCTCAATTGCACTTCTGAACACCTGAAAATATCGACACAAGGAAATTAACATGCACAGGCGACCATCAAAACTTGAAACTGTTAACAGGTATTTATAACAAACTCTGGACGGCAAAGACCCTCACATAATGGCCTCAGGAGGAGTTCATGGCTCAGATAAATCCCCCCACGAGAGAGAGGGAGAGAGAGGGGGAGAGAGAGAGAGAGAGAGAGAGAGAGAGAGGGAGGGAGGGAGGGAGGAAGGGAGAGAGGGAGAGAGCGAGCGCTCCCGGCTGCTTCTTGGAAGGAGGAGTGTTGCAGCACCCCTTAAGGACTAAGAAAACACCAGTGTACGCTTTCATGGGCCACAATGGAGTACAATTTTGTTAGTCTTGAAGAAGTCCCGGAACTCCTTTTCATTCTGGCTGCAACAGGCTAAGACGGCTACCCCTCCAGAATGGTCTCTGAAGTAAGGTATGCACTCCCCTCAAAACAACAAGTAAGCATTACTTTACCTGCGAAATATTCTCAAGCAATAATTAATTTCTCTTTATGGATCATTTGTCTTGAGAAGGTCTGTGCAAGGTTAGGTTTTCCACTATATGCATTGGGAGGGGCAAAAAAACTTCCTGCTTTGTAGTACAATGTATCTGCTGGAGGATTCCAAGGTCCAGGAAATGGCCTGGCACCCCCCACGAACATTCTATGGGCTGGACTGAGACTGGCAAGAGGTTTCACAGAGACAGACCACCAAGACAGTGGCTTCACCTCAGAAAATATTTACTGAATCTTTAACATCATAATGCAGAAACTTTTAACCATATAACATTCTAGTATGCAGCATACAGAATTAATCAAATTTATCAAATACCTAAATAGAGAGCACTGTAATTCTATATAGGATATATCCTGATTGTTTGTTCAAGATCTGTACGGTCGGTGGCTGCCCAGAACACCACTGACTAAAAGAAAACCCAAATGTTAAGTGAAGTCAATGTAGCTGTCAATGAGACCTGTGACGCGTTTGACAAATCCCAACCCCTCATCCACTGCAGGCAGGACCTTTATTATCTGTGAGAGCCCCAGGAAGCCACAGACTATTCTGGCACCTCTACAAGTGGCAATCTGCATGTGACCATTAGGTCAGGAAGCGCTTAGACCTTGAACGAGGGTTCATGAGGAGCCTGGTAATCTATGTTTAGGCTTTGGAGCTAGTGCCATGGACTTGGAAAATATATTTATTTATTTATTTTGCGATTTTTATCCCGCCCTATCCAGTAGCTCAGGGCGGCTAACAACATCATAAATACTAAAACAATAAAAACGATTTTTTTACAGTAAAATTGGTGCTAAAATCTATGCAGTCTATACAATTTACAAAATGCTCAGCGACTTGTTCTTGTGATCTTGATGGTAAACGCGTCCCAGCTTAAGCAACTGATCGAGGGCAAAGTGCGTAGGTGAACCCACGGTTGCTTGGGAAAATGCAGCACTTCGCCAGACTACAGAGACTTCTGGGATGCTAAGCCAAAGGCCTGATAGAACAGAGGCCGGGGCTAATTCAGGAATGGCTGAGGGAGAAGAAGACCCAGTCGCACTTTAGATTAAATTCCCTGACAGTAGGTAAGAGAAGCATTTCCCCTCCTGTCTAGGGGATACAGCTTTGTCCTGTGGACCTACAAAAGCTGTTGGTCTTTCAGACCTCTTGCAGTCCTCTAATGCAGTCCAAACTGTAGTTATACCGTGTATATAACCAGAACTCAGGGCTGCAAGGTCCCCTGCTAGGGCAGATGTCCCACCAGCGACCTGCTCAGAGCCGTGGTGGGAGGGGAAAAAATTGCCAGTATTACACACAGAGCGACATCCCTTCCAAGGAAGACCTGGAGGTGATGTCACATTGCTCTAAGAACCTGGGATTCCCAGGGCAATGCGGCATCACTTCTGGTTCCCCTGGAAGTGAATTCACGCAATGGCAGGGCCTGTCCATGCCCCCACTCCCGTCTACTAGCACTCAGGAAGATGGTCACCACCTCCTGAGAGTTCTGGAAACATGCTCACTAAACAACTATAATGCACTGTATACAGATCTCCCCTCAAAGTCAATCTATAGACTCCAGTTGGTACAGAATGCTGCAGCTTGGCTATTATTGGCAGCTAGACTAGAGCATGCACATTACTCCTACTCTGCAGCTGCTTCACTGGCTGCCCATCTGTTCCCAGGCTCAATCTAAGGTTATGGCGATCACGCACAAAGCCCTCCATGACCTTGGCCCCTCATTATCTACAGTACCCCCTCTCCCCTCATGCTCTACCGTAACAGCTTTGCTCATCTGGAAAGGGCCTTCCACGGGTGCTACCCTGCAAATGGGCTAAATCAACAACTGTGGGTAGACTGTGCAGTCAAGGTTTTGGCTTTCCCCATCCTGGGGAAGGGTCTGCCTGGTGAGGTCAGGAAGGCTCCCATGCTACCGGCTTTTCGCAGGCTTTGGAAAGCTGAATTATTCAAGAGGGCTTTTTGCTCAGACTACAGGGCTGCACAGAACGATGTGGCTCAGAGAAAGGCCAAAGAACGTTGGACTATACACCGTGTACAGTTTGTAGCATCTGTTGCTTAATGTGTCCTGTTAATACTTATGCTGTGCTTGACCTCGGGTTGGTCCTCCAGACCTTTGCAAACCAAATGCCTGCTGCCCCGTCCTTTGGATGCCCCAGTCAGTTGACGGTACTACGTAATCCACCCTGAGTCCCAGTGAGAAAGGCAGACTATAAGTAACGTAAATAAAATAAAACTGGTAAAAACCAATTGGTTTTAAGTTTTCAGTCTCTGATATGGATAAAAAAACTCTGGAAAGCACTGGTGGAGGTAGGAGTGGAGGGACTCAAGATTTTTATCACTTGCCCCAATTCCCGTCTGCTCCCTAAACAATCCTGTCCCATCACACACCAACTCCCACATACACACTAAACAGATGCCCTTCTCTCTCATCCAAAGTAAAGTAGGGGACCACTAGCCCAACTGTGCCCTGAGTTCCACTGTTACCCTACAGTGCAGCTGAAAGATCAAGGGAAACTGAGGGAGTCTTGGTACTAAGTGAAAGGCTTATAGATGTTGTTTCCATGGAATGGAAGCTGTGCTCCCCACCCCCAAACCAACAATTTGCAGTAGGCTTTCTGGATCATGAGCAAACTCACACAAGACTGAAAGCTTTGTGATTCTAGACTTGTGTCTGTAAAAGCAGAAAGAAACTGGCAGAAAGTGGCTAGAAATCAAGCCCGTGGTGTGCATGCCTCGGGATCCAAGGGAAGACAGGAAAGGGCGCACCTGGCACTGGCCAAAGGAGACAACTGCACAGAGATCACACATACATACACCTCTTTATAGAGATAGGCCACAGAAGGGCTGTAGAGAAAGGGAGACTTGCTATACAAAATTACCACAGATTGCTGTGGTAGGAGAGGAGAAGCTCACCAACTTCATTTTGCTTACATGGAGGCCCCCCTAGGAATCTGCCCAGCAACAAATGGTAGCCTCTCTAGGAATCTAGAGATTAGTTTCAATTCTTTGCTTGATCTGAAATCACAGCAAGTACTCTTCCGCAGCAAGAAAGAACTTTCTGTTGTCTATTTAAGCAAAGTGAGCAAATATGGATTCCTAAGGAGATGTTATGCTCCATTCAGAATTGCAGAGTTCCTTTCTTCCCTCCCGTTTGCCTTTACATTGGGTGGGGGGCTCAGACGAACTCTTTCACCAGAGTCCCCTGGCGGCTCTCAGCTCTCAGTAGTCCTTGATCCCTCTACAGCAGGGGTAGTCAAACTTGCTTAATGTTAAGAGCCACACAGAAGTAACATCAGATGTCTGAGAGCCACAAGACATGAACAAATATTGCACACGTTTTTATTGGAAAATATGCAAACTTGCTTTTTATTAACATTAACATTAAATAAGACTGCCAGAAATAAAAACAAACGGGGTAAAAGCGGATATTGGTAATGATATTTAAAGAGACAAATGCTTTCCCCAAGCTGGCCAGGGGGGTGGGGGCTTTGAGAATGCATTTAAAGCTGCTTTCTCTGCTCCCCCCCCCCCACACACCTCAAGCCTACCCAGGGAGGGGAACAGGCAGCTCAGACAATAACTAGACATACAGTGGCTTCCATTGTGATGTATTTTTGTGACATGATAAATGATCAGCTTCCAAGTTGTTGACCTGTGAGACCTTTTCCAAACATTCAAGCAATTGTTTTGAATTCAATTGTCACATGAACAAATAATGCATGCTGCCCTGCCCTGGACAGCCCAGGCAAGCCCAATCTCATCAGATCTCGGAAGCTAAGCTGGGTCGACTCTGGCAAGGACTTGAAATACCAGAGGCGGGGGCAGGCTTTGTTCAGGCCCCTCTCTAAATATCCTCCAGGTCCCCAGTAGGGGTCAGTCACCAGAGGTCGCCATGACTTCCAAGCAGGGCTCTTTTTGTAGAAAAAGCCCAGCAGGAACTCATTAGCATAATAGGCCACACCCAACAGCAGAAACTCATTAGCATATTAGGCCGCACCCCTGACAGCACAGCTCATTAGCCCATTAGGCCGCACCCCCATGTTACCAGAAGTGTGGTCATCCAGCCACACCCACCTTTTGCTTGTTATTCTGTTTATCTTGTTTGTTGTCAAAACCCAGGACTTTTTTGTAGCAGGAACTCCTTTGCATGTTACGCCACACACCCCTAATGTAGCCAATCCTAATGAGTTTCTGCTGTTGGGTGTGGCTTATCATGCTAATGAGTTCCTGCTGGGTGTGGCCAACTTGGGAGCCAGCCGGAACTCCGTTCCTGCCCCAAAATAGCCCTGCTTCCAGGTACTCATACATGCACATATGGAAAATACACCCCCCCAAACTAAAAAAAAACAAACCAAAAACCAATAATGCATGGAGCTACTAGTGCTTCCCAATCAAGGGGTCACACACAGCGATTTTTCTAGAAGATAAAGGAAGTACTGAGCTAGAGGACCTGAGTCTGCAGCTAGAGCTGTACTGACTCTTATACCTCTATTATCCTTACCTGGGAGTTCAGCAAATATTTGGCTCCAAGTGACCAGTCATACATCCCCAGACATGTAATCAGCAGCATGATTTTTAACGGCTTCTCCAGGATATCTTCCAGCCTTAGGAAATCATATTCAAAAAGCCTCTTACAGCGAAGGAAGGTTAGCTCTCGATATTTCTCAAGGGATAATTCTTCTCCAGGGAGACGAGCAAAAAGTGGATCGTGTTCAAAAGCTGTGAACACTCGGCTCTTAGTGGATGATAAACAGCAACAGAACGATTTAAAATACAAAAATGCTTGTAAACAGTCATATCTAAACTGGTATAGCTATCTGATTGTTGTTTGTGTTTCTTACCATACAGTCCTATGGCATGAGTTATGCCTGCCAGAAGGGGACAGAATCTGGACTAAATTTCTACAACACTGTAACTCCAAGTTAAGACATAGTACGAAATTTGTAGCATCATAACTTAAATTTAGAATGGCACAATTTTAAGGTGGTCTTAACTAAACTGACATAAAAGGGAAGAAACAGGAGGGGATATGGTTTTAACTTCAGCAGAAGATTAAGGGAGTGGGCACCTTAATCCATACCCTATGTTCCACCATGGTAAAGTTCCACCTATCACACCAGTGCAAAGTTATGACACTAAAAAATTAACTAATGTAATTATAAACTCATTGAAGCCACTTACTGCACACACAGCTATGTTTACCTGTCCTAGTAAATCAGCGCATGCGCACGCGCCCACACACATGAGACAGAATGGTGTACTGGTTAAGAATGCGGGACTAAAAACTGGGAGAACCAGATTCGAATTCCCATTCTGCCATGCAGATTCGCTGAGTAATCAAGGGCCAGTCATACTCTCTCTGCCTCACTTACCTCATAGGGTTGTTGTGAGAATACATTAAAAGAGAGAGAAATAATGCTGTAAGTTGCTTTTAGCTCCCCAGCCTACAACAAGAAGCTTCAACAAATTCATTCCTGTTTAAAGGGACTTGCTAGCAATCTCAAAATATTGGCAGATGCAATGAACCAGAGGCCTTTCCATCAAAAGTCTGGAAAAACACAATTGAGAAGTATCTGGACACGTGAACTCCCCCTGGCCATGGTCTCCAGGAACAGCTATTACTTCTTGATGCATTTCATGGTGTCATCTGTGGGCTACCATATGTTCTACGTGGTGTTACAATACTTGTCACTGAATTGATAAAGTTGCACTGACAGTTCACTGTTTAAAACATTACCTTGAACTGAATCAGATCCTCATCCTCAATGAACACTGCCATCTCCTTCCAACTGAAGGATGCTTTCTTCCGGTAAGTACAGAGTGGTCCGCTCGGTAAGTCTGGCAGTGGCAAAGCATTATTAGAGCTGACTGCTTTCAAATCACTGACTGGTGGCATCTTGGTGTGAAATAGCTGTGCTGGAAACACAACCAAAAAAATCTTCAAAATACCAGAGACATACTCATACAAACAACTTTATGCCAGAGTCCACCCCAGTCCAAGGAGGCACTCCTAGGGCAGAGCAGGGGCCCTTGGTCCCTACAGAGAACTGGACGATAGATCCAGACGGTCACTTGTCCTCAGTGGCTTGGGAGAGGCAGGCACCAGCCAGGTCACTCTGCAGTCGTGGTCATCCCATATCCAGCCACTGGTGTGATACAGCGCACACCCCATCCAACGTTCCCTCTAAGCTATGGAGTCCTGTGAGCAAAAGTTCTACTTTGTGAACTCCTGGCATTAAAGTTGTGAGCAGGTGATTTGGCTGCTGCATAAATTAGCCTGGCTCTGGAGCCGTCCTTCCTGAGCTAAGACAAAAATGTGTGAGCCAGAGGCTAAAAGACTGTGAGCTAGCTCACACTAACTCAGCTTAGAGGGAACACTGACCCCATCCATGCCAATGACCAGCTGTTGGGCTGTGCGGTTCCATGCCTCGCAGTCTGTGGTGATCAGCACTCAGAACGCCAGCCACCCGCAGAACCGGAGCGGCAGCGGGGACGGGGGGAGGTTACTGACACCACCAACTCAGAGCATGGAATAAAACGCTCACGGCCATCAGTCATGTGGGACTCTAATCAGGGGTTTGTCCCCCCCTTCCCCCAAAAGTTTCAGGCACCAAGGTGTCATAAGCAGTGTTCCCTCTAAGCTGAGTTAGTGTGAGCTAGCTCAGAGTTTTTTAGCCTCCGGCTCACACACATTTTTGTCTTTGCTCAGGAAGGAGGGCTCCAGTGCAAACTAATTTATGCTGGAGCCAAATCGCCTGCTCACAACTTTAATGCCAGTAAGCTCACAAAGTAGAATTTTTGCTCACAGGACTCCACAGCTTAGAGGGAACATTGGTCATAAGAGGTAACTAGTCAATAGTGTCAACATTATTACTACATTTCTAGCCTGCCCTCCCCTGGGAAAAGGGCTCGGGGGCGCCGTATCTCGAAACGAGACAAAATCATACATTTTTTTTCCCCAATAACATTTTATTGGTATAATACAATAGTATTAAGAAAACATAACAATCACATTTTTATAACATTAGCCAAGTCCATAATGAACTAAAGAACAGTTAAACATATTAACCAGTACAATATGAAAAAAAAATGTAAGCATTGAAAAATGATGTATAATTCAATAAACTTTGGAACAAAATACCTTGTTTTTACAATGTATTCTAACTAAAGCCTGTTCTGTTCGCTGTTATTAACTCAATAAGGTGCCTTCTGCCCTCTAAACTATCAATAGGCATTCAACAGCATATCTAACAGTGTGAAAAACAAAGTGAACCTATATATAAACCATAAACAATTTACCGTGAGGATATCAGTATTTTGCTGTATCTATGTAGTTTCAATAAGCAGTGTAATCATACATTAAATACACAATTGAATGCAATAAAAGAAACATCAGATAAAACCACTAGAGTAGCTAGAGGGTGCCAGAACTGCAGCTCGTGCCGCTGCCCGGCGGGGGGTGCCGGAGCAGATGGAGCCTGGATGCCCGGCGGGACACCGCGGCCCGGACAGGCCCTTCCGCAGGGCCTGTCCGGGCCGCGGTGTCCCGCCGGGCATCCAGGCTCCCGTCGAGTCTGGTGGGACCTGGTCACCATCCCCTATAGGGGGTGGCGACCAGTGTTCCCTCTAAGCTGAGTTAGTGTGAGCCAGCTCACCGTTTTTTAGCCTCCGGGTCACCCATTTTCGTCTCAGCTCAGGAAGGGATGGCTCCAGAGCAAACTAATTTATGCAGCAGCCAAATCACTCGCTCACAACTTTAAAAAAAAAAAGCTCACCGTTTTTTAGCCTCCGGGTCACCCATTTTCGTCTCAGCTCAGGAAGGATGGCTCCAGTGTTCCCTCTAAGCTGAGTTAGTGTGAGCCAGCTCACCGTTTTTTAGCCTCCGGGTCACCCATTTTCGTCTCAGCTCAGGAAGGGACGGGGCTCCGGAGCAGACTGATGTATGCAGGAGCCAAGTCGCTCGCTCACGACTTTAATGCCAGCCAGTGTTCCCTCTAAGCTGAGTCAGTGTGAGCCGGCTGGCAGTTCTCTAGCCTCCGGCTCAGACATTTTTGCCTTCGCTCAGGGAGGCTGGCTCCAGAGCCAGGCTGATTGACGCAGCGGCCGAATCGCCCGCTCGCAGCTTCAATGCCAGCGGCTCACACAGTAGGATTTCTGCTCACAGGACTCCGCGGCTGAGAGGGAACGTTGGTGGTGACCGGGTCCCGCGGGCGCTGGAGGCCGGGGGGACAGGCACACACAGAGACGCACCCCCGCGCCGTGGTCCAGGAGATCCTCCCGGCTCCCTCCCCCCCCCCGGAGGTCTGGA